CCCTTGCCTACAGTGTTTTAGGCAATTTCTTTTTCTTTTTCCTCAATAGAGGTCTAATTCGCAAAAGCCGTTAAAATATTGTTTCTGTAAAATTTCACAAAACTTCCAACGAAGTCTTCAACTCTCCACCTTCTTGTGGAAATTTTTTTCTCAATAAAATGCCGCGAAACTTTTTGTGCTAATCATCTAAGTTCAGGTGTATTATCCGCCTTCGTCACTGAACCCTCTTCACTTCCTGCAGTCTTCAAAACGCAACCGAAGTGTTTTGGATAACCGACGAATACACAGATGTAGCCAACCGGGATGCAATAAGGTCTACACTAAGAGTTCACATCTCAAAGCTCATTTACGAATACACACAGGTATGGTTTACTACTAAGCGCAGCAGTTTCTCACTAATTTAATTGCTTGACAACACCTGACGGCTTCAAGCCGTACCTGAGAACAGCCTGACGGCTTAAGCCGTACCTGAGAACAGCGCTGCAGTGTTGCACAGTGTTCTGCTCAGGTAAGGGCATCTTCTACCTGTTTCTGCGTTTAGAATAATGAATCATCCTTCGGTAGAGGGGGGGGGGCGATATTTCCATTTGATCTGACTTACACCAAGTGAAGTGACTCCACAGTATGATACTTTTAGTTCAATCTGCACTTGTAATGTGATACCGCACTAATATCCTTCACTTCTTTGCCAACGATCGCGCTTTCCTTTTGCCCAATGCATCACTGTAGTCACTTTGACTGAACCGATATGTACACAAACGCACCAATCCAATTACCGTAAGCCGGAAACAGTCGCGCTCGGCTACTATAAACAGTCGGCTAGATGAAAGACCAAAGCAGTACATACATTTACATGACATTTTCTAAGGTCATTTGCTGAGAAAAACCTGTTGAAAGCTGGAGAAAACCAGTAAATTGACAGCGTTCATTGAGTACTTGTGCTCAAAACTTTCGTTACAATCACATATGCCTTTAGATTACAAAGACTGCAAAAAAGGACGCCATATACCAAATGTACAGTACTCGCGTGTCAAATCTGGGCCCGATAGCCGCCAAAATCAGCCAAGTCTTGCATACACCTGGGTTCCCTTGATTAGTACCGGACTCTGAAGATAAAGGACATTGGCTTGCATAGTGGTTAGCTCCAGCACGCCAATGTATTCGCATGCATTTGCCCTTACCATTTTTCATGGAGATAGAATGTGTTTCCTTCATGTCCCGCAAAACGCCATATGTCTTATCCTTTAGCTTCTGAATCGCCTCCTACTATTCAAACAGTAGCAAGCCAAACTCATTTCCAGCGTACTGCTCATATGTGCCTGATTTTTAAATTGCGCTAACGCTAACAGACAAAGAAATATGCAGCACATAATCATGCGCTAAGCACCCCCTAGAGAAATTGAAGGCTGCGCAATCGCTTCCGCTTCTGTGAAATGTATGTCTATTCGGAAACAGCAGTTTCCCATGCGCGACACAATGCGCGGTAGGTGAGCGTAACACCTATCAAGCAGTGTCCATGCCGAACAAACATGCAGTTAGCAGTCTGTTCGCAACACCAAACCATCTGTTGCAGCCGTCTGCCACCGCGATGGAACCTGCTTAGTGAACCTTTCAATGATTACTGTAGCTCACCACTGTTAGAATAAGTGTTTGTAATGAGTCTGTCCTCAATCAGCGATGTTGCCCAAATTTCTACCTGCTTCAAAATTAGCATGAGCAGAGAATTGGCCCACGCAGATTTGCGGCCTACCACTTACGGTTTGCAATGCATGCAAGTAGAGCCAAATCGGGTGCAACATCTTGTTGCCTTCTCTCGTCACTCGAACAACTGATTCGATGGGTTCCCGCCGGAGTGATCATTTTGTACTCCTACTGACTAGTATAGGGCGCCATTCGTTGCGGGACCCACTGCCTTAACCCGCGGGGATCCCATGTGATCGCGGTTGAATTCGAACATTCCAGCTTCTCACGCATGTCAAGTGTCTGCCCTCACCCCCCACCCCCCTAGACTGGCGACACTGCCCCTGGCTCACGGATTCCCCGCTCCACATTGAAGGGTTCACTGTAGCAGGAGGCAGTGGGACCCGTAACGAATGGCGTCCTTTACTAGTCAGAAGGAGTACAAAACGATGCGTTCCTTCCCCTTTTATGCGAACAACAAGCAAAAACAGCAGGCACATACAAGACGAGTGAACGACACCAACCCAGGCAGGACCTGAATGCTACCCTCAAACCCCGTCTCCGTTCTTACAAAACTGATATGCTGGTCTTCAAGGAGATCGATTGAAATAGACAACAAGCATTTTATGAAAAAGAGATAAAACTAAAACAAGAAAGCAAAAAAGTGTATTTGAGCAAAAACGGTGAGAAGCATAAAATGGTAATAAACCAATAAATTAATAGATAATATAAAAGTTCACATTCTGAGCTATGCATTTACTCTTATAAATCAGAATCATTATTGAGACAGTCTAGTATATAAATGGACTGTTGAATTTTATTTCAGGAGAGAAACCTTACTTCTGTCAATGGCCGAGGTGTTCCTGGACTTTCGCGCGATCTGATGAACTCACGCGGCACTATAGAAAGCATACTGGCGCTAAACCTTTCCGTTGTCCTGCATGTTCCAGATGCTTTGCCCGGAGCGATCATTTACAGGTACCCTCACCTATAGGAAGTTTTTTGCACCCTTTACAGATTGCGTGTTCCAATAGAGCCTTGGTTTCTTCTACTATATTATTATTGCAACATATTCTTTTAGCTGCACATGAAACGCCACGAAATCAAGAACGACAACGCTCTGCCAGACTTGAATCCAGATGAAATTGATATGCTCTAAATGTGATATGTGATGAAATTCAACGATGTGCTTTCATATTTGTGCAAGATTGAGTGTTATTGGAACATTGCTATTCCTCAATTGAAAGTATGCATTGGTAACTTAAATTCCAGTATGCCATCGATATCTTACCTGCACTGATTGATCCTTCGATCGATTACTTTTATCCAGTCGATCTGATTGACCGAAACTTCAACGTAGTAAGAGTAGTAGCGGTCGTCGCAGTCCCATAAAAGCAACCTAAACCAGAGGAATATTAAGCTCTAATGGTACCACTTTTCTTCACAAAACTTCTTCCAACAGTGAAAATAGTTTAGGGTTTTGAAATCCGAAACTAAAAAGGCAAAAGTAAATAAACTATACCTCATTGTACTGATCATATATGGCTGAGGTAACTGGATGGTAATCGCTCCGCTATTCAGCTGGTGACATGTGTAACCATTGTCCCAGTCGTAGTCGGAATTCTAAATAAATCGACGACTAGAAAGTTTCAAAAAGCGGTGTATTTCATTTGGAATTGAACTTTCAGCAATGTTCGATAGGTTTTTTCACAGACACAATGAACGTTTCTTCTGATAGCAGACAATAATAGAATTCTCGCCTCTGCTACCGATCAGAATTGGAAATTGGGGCTGGAGATATGTTCTACCACCAGTTTCCAAACTCGTGCTTTGAATGAAGTAAGTGCGAAACAGGCAGAGATTATGAGGAGCCCGATACCGTGTCCAAAACATTCAACGCCTTAGCAACAGCTTGGTACCGGAAGAATCCCCAATACAGGCTGCGTAAAACGAAGTAGCATCCCGTAATTCCACACCTCGTACAATTTTTCTTCCCCGCATACCGGACTTCTTTCCAGAACATTCAGCATTTTCCAATTAACACCTAAATATAATTACCAACGTCGTGGACAATGCTATGCTCACAGATTATTCTAGTTCTTTGCACACGCACACTAGCACACTCATCCCCCACAAAAAAAGCGTCACAGGGATGTTTAACACATTCACGACGACGCCCCTTTTCCACTTTTCGGTCGCGTGGGACGGACGCGATTTTGTGGGCGCCGC